GAAAAACACTCAAAACTTCAGGGGAGCAGCACACCACATTCACTTCCATTTTAAAACATCCTCAAAACAAGGAATTTTTCAATGCAACACGATCTTCACAGTTCCGTCAGCAGCCCCCTTGTTTCCAGTCATCAAGTCCCCCGACACATTCGCTGCCAGTTCTTCCAATTCGTCCTCTTCGTACGACATCAAACTGAGCAACATTTGCTGCACAAAAGCACTCCGCAAAATGCCCTGTCGCAAGTTCTCGTCCATCTCAGCTTCTTCCGGTGACGACTTAGTCCCGTCCCTCTCGAATTCCTCCAACACCTGGGGACACAGTTCGTTGGGATGCGGAGCAGTGTCGGCTTTGGCATCTCCACCAGCCGCAGGGGCTTGTTGTCCGAATCGCAGTCCAGTGCAAGGTTTCGGCAAAAACGTCGTCGAAGTTTGAGGCACGCCAGAGAAATATTTCTTCATTTGCTTCTGATGAGCTCGAACCTGTTCCAAATCACGTTCGTTTCGGGAACTAGGCATGTGAGCAACAGGAGCCACGGCTTGCCGGTGTTGGTTCATAAACTGGGCGTACATTCGGTTGCGTTGAGCGCGGTTGATCAAGTTCGGGGCACGGGAACTCGGGCCTGAGCCGGAGGCATTGGATCCTCCGTTGCTTTCTGCGAAAGGCGTCGGTCGCATGGTGGACAACTGCATCAGGAGATCCACAATAGGATCGTCATGGTCCACGGCCGAACCCTGGTCGTCGAACAGAACAGTGCCTGATGCACTCGGGAATAATTCCGAGCTGTAGCCCTGGTCCAACGAATGAGCAGCGACCTTCCTTCCGAGTGATTTACCTAGGTAAGAGAGAAAGTCTTGAACTACATCTGTGAATCGAATAGACAAATAATACGCATTAAGTCTTCACCATTTTGACACTTATTGGAAAGCATGACAAATCATGAGAACAGCTCACCCCTCGAAAAAAAAAAAGAAGGAATTATGCAGTTTTTTAAACGCTCGACCTTCCCCGAGGGCTCGATTTCCTTTTCACGACTAATTGTTTACAATGGTATTACCAATAATGGCAGGCCTCGCATCATAAACCGTTTCGCACAATGGACTTGGGGTGCGACAGACAGTTGCTTCGGAATATTCGGATAACCGACCGCATGATGAGTGAATCGCTCCGCAAAAAAAAATCAAACATTATTTCTTTCCTTTCGACGACGGTTCGCTGCGTTTTTTTGAATGACGTTTCATGCAAAAAATATACTTATCCAGCAATTTATTCCTAAATTTAAAATTCTCAAGAGATCTCGGATAGATTGATCACCATTTACAGTAGCTTTACATAACACCATTCAGTTGAGGGATATTCTGCGGCTCTGAATCGAATCAATCCTACATCACTGCTTTGCTCCGTATGACCCACTGAACGGAATAATCGTCTAGATGAAATTCTACGGAAACAGATTCAGTCCATTAACCGAAGCAAAGCTGTAAAACTCGAACGGATGAAATCCACGATTCCAGCGAAACTTTTTGACGCTCTTAGAAGCTACCACAGAAGAAACCGAAAATAGTACTTAAACGCAATACAATTAATTTTTTGGAAAGTTCTTTTCACGAGCTTCACGATGCTACGAGGTGATACAAAATACTGTTATACATTCGTCCCGGAACGAATTTTTTTTTCGGTCCCTTGAATAACGTTGTAGAGAGTGTCATGAGAAGGACATTTTGCCTCGTCGTTACTTTTCTGTGAGTGAATCAACAACTTTTTTCTTTCAAAATGTGCAGTTTTCTGACGTGAAACCTCAATTGTTCCAACAAAAGAAGAATTTCTCGGCTTGAATGATCTTCTTCCGCGTCACGAAGTAATTTGAGCCCAATGTTCATTTACTCGTGGAAAAACAGTATTCTTAGGGGGTGGAGTCTGTGTAACTCGAGAACACCACGACGAACATTCTACTTGCCATGGAATTTTCAGTAAACTGAAAGAAAATTTAAATAATATTAGGTGTCCACTTTTCCGGGCAAAAATGTAAGCATAGAAAAATGTAAGCCCGACGTTTCCCGTCCCAAGGACAGCACTGTACCTTCATTCATAAATTTGTCAGTGACATCGCGATTTTGGATAAATCCTTCGCAAGAGAACGCAGCACAACACATTCGGAAACAATACATTTCTTACATGTCTCAAGAAAAAAGTTTGGATGCACACCGCAATTCGAGAAAATAGAACAATTCGAGAAGTAAATACTGTCATATAGAAAACGCAAAACTTTTTTAGTGGGAAGAAATCTTAATCTTAACATCATCTAAAGGGCACAGAAAATGAAAATAAAACGGCTGCTCACAAATGAAAGTCAAACAATTTAAGAACAGTTCGCGGAAATTGTTTCAGTAATTCATTAAAAAAAAACCGAGGGTACGAAAAAATGCGAAATTACTTCTTAAAAGTACAGTACAGTACTGTATTGTTTATTTGTCACAAGTATACCATTAAGAAACCTTCACGTCGGATTTCGATGGAAAGACAAGCAGGAAAACGAAACTGAAGATATTTCAGCGCACAAACACATGCCCAAAACGATACTGTGGATTTTCCCACCACGTGAAAAAAGGTGGATAATCATGAAGCAACTAGAGAAGTAAAAAGACTCCCAAATAGGAATAACAAAAATGATATCAGCGAGCGCATCAATTACGAAGGGTATCTCAAAAGTCTTTTAAACATACTTCGAACTATCAGCCTTATAAATTTTCAGTTGCTCATGTGTGATTTACAAAAAAGTCGAACCACTAAATGTAAATCCAACGCAACTCACGCAAGGTAATAAATTTCAGGCCGCATCGGAAGATTCTCACAAAAATGAATACAATACGATAAATTACGCATACGCCAATTCAAGAGGTTCCGTAAAAAATGTGTTTTCGTCTCATTTTAATTTGATTACGGGATGTAGTTCTAAAAAATGTCAATCAAAGAGCAACTTCTGAAAATTGACCACAGCATTGCATGTGGAGAGAGGACAACACTTTACCTTCACTCATAAATTTGTCAGTGACATCGCGATTTTCGAGAAATCATTCGCAAGAGAACGCAGCTCAACACACTTTCGGAAACAATACATTTAAAAAATCCCTTCAGTCTTGAAGTACACGTTGAACCAAACAAACCTGATCTCCTTTTGGCGACATTTCCCGGCGCAGGATTTCCGGTTGACGATCCACCGTTGCCTCCACCATTTCCAGCACCCGAATGGCGGTTGGTCAAATGAGTGATCAAGTCGTTAGTCCAAACGTTCGGGTCACAGCCCGGGGTTCCGGCGCACATGGGGCAAATAACATTCGCCGTGGATCCTGCGTGCTTCGTCCGAACGTGATGAACCAGCAGGGTTTGCGATAACCCGAGTTGCCCGCACAGAGGGCATGTAAAGGTCACGTGATGCCCCGGGGTTATCCCAGGTTCCGAGCCGTAATACTGAGGAAAATCCCCTTTCGCGATCAAGCATTGCATCGGATGACTCGCCTTGTGACTGCTTGACACCATTTTTGAGGCGAAGCATCTCTAAGGGAAATACAGTTAAAACTCGTTACAACAAACATTTGGGGACTTCAGAAAAAGTTTTTTATATTAAATAATTTGTTAGAACGAGATTTTCAAAATTAAAGACTGGAAACAATCTTCACACTAGACCTGCACATAATCAATCAGAAAAAAATGTATCACACTGAAAATTTTTTTATGGTATTTGTTGTGAAGATATTTCAATGTGTAGGAAGATACTGTAGAAGGAAAATCAATGCTCTGAAACTCATCTATGAGCCGATTCAGTGCTACTGAACCTTATCACTATCGTCGAATGGTTAAAAAAGAACAACTGTATAAACCGGCTTAACGATGTCGCGAAGCGGATTACGGCTTGAAATTTGCACACGGCCACTAAACCGTGAAAAAATCTCCTAGATTTTATAATACATGTACTACAGCTACAACACACGGCGAAAAATGCAAGATCGACTTTCGCACGATTCCGTCATCAAGTATTCTTGATTTGTTCATCCGTAGTGTTGCAATGGATACAGAGTCACCCAAGGAGAGAACTCCTTTTTATAGTGGCAAAAAACCTGATCACATTAAAAAAATGAGCTTTTCACGCACTGTAACAGTACATATTTTTTACGGACTGCGGAGATTAACCAACAAATTTGCAGCGATTCTAGAATAACGGCAGTTCGATTGGGAAATCTTCGAAGCACATCCGAAATCCCAAAAAAGCTCCTCTCCATCGTCATTCGAAATACAGTACGAACACAGCTGAGTACAATACTGAAGGTAGTTCGGACGAATGTACAGCACAATGCCATTTCTTCGGAATGCTGGCAGGAATATAATCTGAATGAGGCAATTCCATGCTTGAATAGGGCAGAATCGATTGAGCTGCCGTCAAAATTTGTCCAACTACTCGAACTCATTCCAAAAGCTACAACAGTCGATTACATACGGCTAACTGACTAAGAGTCTCAAAAAACCTTTTGAAATTCGAAGCTCATTTTTTCATTCGCGGAACGTCTGTCTGGGCGCAATAATAAGAAAATGGAAACAAGATTACGGAAAACTCGACAAATTAAACCGGAAGGACATGTAGTCCGTTCAGTTTGAAACAACACTGATCGGCATCCGGAACAGAATATAAACCTCTTACTGAAAAAAGACGAAGTAAAAATCGTGAAAAGAACATACCTGGCACAGATCGTAGTCGTAACAGGTCAGGCACTTGTATCGCAGTCCACGAAAATTCTCAGTCAAACAAACGTCACAGCTCACGCCTTCATGCAACATTGCACACATTTTCGACTCGTTCTTCGCGGCTCGACGACCCAAGGCAAACAATAACGACTCCACGATTACGCACGTGATATTTTCTGCGAAGCTAATAGCAAGAAAGTCAATTTTCCATTCACTGACGCATTATTTGCGATGAAAAAAAAACAAAGAACAGAAACAACCCAACTGCTTTGCGCCATTTTAATCGCAATCAGAAAAATCATCACAGGTTCGATCTCCTCGAGATTCACTTGATGGGTTTCATATTCCATAAGCCGTCGTTGAGGTAGTGATAATTTTCTACACCGATGCCTTTGTTCACCTCCAAGCTACAAGAAGAAAACGTCATGAGTACTGTGCTAAGTAGTGTTTAATATTCGCGCACCAATTAGTTGGTGACTGAAGAGCTTTCATTTCTCCAAACCATTTTGAGGAAAATTACGACAGTTTATGATCATCAGTTCAGTCTACAGGATTTTTTTAGATTTTCGGTCCTCAACAGTAGACAATATTCACATACTGTAAAGTGAAGTTTGATAACATGGATGGGAATAAAAAAGCAACCAATACCAATGGAATAGGTAATTTTCAACCTTTCCATCCATGTGAGATTTTGGAGTTGATGATCTCTTACTATTTATTGCGAAGTACCAGATAAAATGGGAGGCCTAAACCTTCTCTAAAGACTGATTTGCATTACCAATGCTTAAAAATATGTATTGCAATCTCAGAAGTGGCCAATTCAAGTTTCAAGAGGAAAAATTTCATCACTCGGAATTTGCAGAAAGCACAAAATTCTTGAATAAAACGATAGTCAAATGTACAGTATTACTACAAATCGTGGAAAACTGTCAGAATAAATGTGGTAAAAAATATCCAATTAGATTTTAACAACTATGCGCACATTTTTTCCAATAGTGTGCGTAAACCAGAGGTTCATAGAATCTGAAATGAATGTGAAGACATACATTTTTCCAGACGACAATTTCATAACTCCAACGGCTAAAGCATGCTCCTTCCCTTCCGCCATAATTGCCTGGAAATCATCGAGTGAATTTCATAAAAAATAATTTCTTCGAATGAAGAAAAAGGTCATGAATTTCGCGTTCTTACCACTACTGCATTTTCTGGAGAAGTAGTCATCTTTGCACCAGGCGAGGTTAGACCAGGACACATGATGTTTGCCCCACTGAGGACGAACTTTATTGCACCTTTGTCAACTTGCTGCCAGGGCAAAAGGAACGGATATTTGTGGAGCAAACGCAAAGAAGGCATCCACTGAGAGTCGCGGTGCTTGAAAAATAACTGGTCTCCAGCCGAGTTTATCAATATTTCTATATGATCATGACTGAAAAAGAAAACGCAAACTTGACTCGACGAATTCACATTTTCTGTCCTGACGATTCACTAACCACCGGGCGATGCGAAACGAGTCCTTCTTCGGGAGAATAAGGTCTATGTAGTCTTCGATGAAGCAGTAATCTTCCATGAGTTTGTTACGAATGCCTTTCTGCACTGAAGACTTCAGCTGAATGACTCCAGACACGCTTTCCTTGTCATCAAATCTGAAAAAATAAAACGTATAATTCACTTGCCCGATTCAAGACTCGACTACATCAGCACTTACTTTTTGAACATGATGTCAAAGTCACACGATCAATGCACAAATTCTCTGAAATCATACAGTTTTTTGGGGATAAACGCTTTTCCAAGAATAAATCGAGAATACCGAGCAAGCATGACTCTAGAAAAATTACGCATGAAACATTAGACGATGTATTTCACGATCACTGCGATTGCACAACCTCTCTTGTGAAATGGACAGAGTCAGGAAGACAACAAACTCAGTAAAATCAAATCATTGATTTAGAAGGAGACAAATATTTTCTTCATCGCGAAGAACCTATCTGAAAAAACTCCAATGTCACCCATGCGGGTTCGAGAACAAAAGAAAAAAAGCAATAACGCGGTGGGAATGACAATATTTCCTATCACCAACATTCAACAAACTGGGATGATTCGAGCCCTGAAGAAGTGCATTATTTACACAAAAAACAAAAACACGAGCTCACAAAGCAACAACGGTGCTACTTCAGGAGCACACTCGTGATCACTCTGACCGATCATGGCTGAATACTCCCCAGAAGAGGGATCAAATTTTCTACACCAACTTTTTAATACAGAAAAAAAAACCGAACAAAAAATGGCAACTGCCACAGGTAACCACGACGATTGTCTTCATCAGCAAAAAACTGAGGATCCGAGACGGAAACTTAACATGCGAAGGATGTTCGCAAGAATTTGGCAACTAAGAGAGCGAAAATCAATTCCAAGAGAGCTCTTCACTGGCCCGAACGACTCAAATGCGATTCAAAACCAAAAATCACAAAAATCGCTCAACATCCAAAAATCTTCGCTTTGAGTGGATCGCCTAATTTAGAAAATACGCTCCAATTGATGAAAAAATTGGCACTGTTGAATTTAGAGTAGTGATGAATCTCCCTTAGAGATACTTGATTAGGAATGAATGGTGAATAATAATTTCCGTCGGACGGATCAATAAAAAAAACAATGCAACCGCGACCATCATATATTCTAGAAAACTTTTTCCTTCTTTGACACCAAAGCCCGAGCACAAACAAACGAAAAATGCAAAGTATTTCAGTTCGCCTCGTTTCTGTTAACCATAACGATCATGCTATGAAATCCAAGCGCAGATTAACAGGGGAAATCATCAAACTTACGGTTCGTAAAAACACATAAACAAAATAGTATGCAGCACGTTTTTGTTCCAGCTTCCATTTTTAATCATATAGCTTCAACATTTCACAGCTCACCTTCTCACGACCTCAAGTGCATCCGTATATATTGAGATCTACGAAAAAGCAGCCATTTTTTCTCTTAAACCTGTAAATCATGTACGGTACACTATCTCCAGTATCAGCGATCGACGAGTCCAAATTCTTTATTCTCTAACACCAGTATTAATTTCCTTCGTTTTTTCTTCCCGAAAACGCATAATCGGGAATTCTTTGGTTGAACAACATGAGGATGAGCCGAATCCAAAAGAGGTAGAGCCACTTCTACGTCAACCTTCTTAGCGTTATCTTTCACTCCAAATGGTGAAGGTTAGCTTTTATCTTCATCGAAATGTTCTACTGTGTTGTCCGGAAGACACTTCAGGATGACCCGATGACCTCAGAAGGATCTCCAACGAATTTTCGCGGTGAACTTGGCGATGCGGGTGAATTTGGCGAACCGTTAGGAGCCGCCAAGAGGAGTGATTTATTCCCCAGAACAGGAGATCCACCGTTGGACGTTTCGGATACACTATTGTGCTGAGACCTGGCAATCGCTCTCTGCTTCTTGAGGTCAGATAATGTTCCTGTGTTTCCGGGACCATTAGTTGAACCTAAAAAAAAAAAAAAATGTCACGTAAACTTGAAAAAAAAAGCTAAGCAATTACCATCGCGCAAAAATTCTCGAGAAATAGTGAGATTCTTACTTCCTATGAACCTGCCATCATTCCCCAACAAAGCAAGATACTGCCTCACTTGAGAAAATAACGCGGTAATTATATTGTAGTTGAAACGGAAGAGAGGACCACGAAATTTTAAAGAAATTATTCAACTGCATGGAAAAATACCAACGATGAAATCTTAGTTCAATTAAAGGGAACAGTTCTCGGCCCATTGCTTTTATAAACTGTCCCCTAGCAATTCACACTGACAAAAATATTCGAAGCCTCAAATTAAAATGTTGTGATGATGCAGTTCATGCTGTGATGATGCGGTTCATGCACAATATCATAAAATCTTATGTTGGTGGTCACATATTTTCCGAATATTTAATGATATTCCAGAAATAAGCGAACTTGTCTTTTATTGGCTTCAGTTTTCTTCTGTATTTTAGTCAAACCTGTTCAAGTCGAACTTCAAGGAATCGGCAAAAATTAAAAGGATATTGTAATTGCTGATATTCTAGACTTTAAATATTGTAGCTTCATAAATAAGTTGAAAGGATGCTGAACTTGAAGGCAAGGGTTTATTTGCCCAATTAGTTTTTAAATTCTTTTCAAAACACATCAAGCTACATTTTCATCGCTTTTCTCTTTCCTCCGTCAATAAAATAATAGTCAAAAAGGTTTCCGGAAAATTTGATTAATAGAGGTTTGAAGAAGAAAGCCTTTCAGTTGGGGAGATTTTCAAGGCACCGTTCGTACGGGAATTCAAGACGGGACTTCGAAAAAATCGACGAACGGAGGTTCAAGTTACTGTAAAGAGGTTGAACTGTAGTGAGTTGATGGAAACAGCTGTAACTCACCGGTGGGAGAGGCGTTGTTGTTGTTCACACCAACCGGCGATTGCGGACCGTTGGCATTCGAGTTCAAAGTGACAGTAACATGTACATTCAAATTTACACTATCGGAAGGTGCCTGAGAATTCCCCAGGTGCATTGCAGGCAACGATGCTGTCGACATTTTTCCGCCATCAACATCGTCGAGAGTGTCACCGACTCCCGGACCTCCAAAACTGTTCCTGGGGAAAACAAATATTGCGCGGTAGCTATTCAATATGATAAAAGCAAACTTTTACTCAATCGAAAAATCGTTTTTGGCAACCATAGATGGCCAAATAAGTTGACTAACGACGACTGAGCATCTTTGAGTGACTGACGCAGGACGTGGTTTCAATCCTGAATGCATTTTCCAGAGCAACTCATAAAACGAACGAGGAACCAAGCAGCTGGTCATTAAAACCAGGTTAACAAGCTCTTTCCCCACGGAACAATTCTTGCACACGAATCAGATTGGAGGAATTTTCAGAGCAAGTCGTAAGATACAACAAAGATTCGACTTGACGGTTCTTTTCAGCCCGACATACAATGTCGCCCGACTCCGCTATTTTCGACAAGTTTTTGTAGATGTCGCATGTACTTCCAATATTAAGTTACAAGATTTAAGTAAGGATGATGAACGTCCGAGTGATCTTGGAAAATAAGGCTTACATCGATAGGTTAGTCAAGCCCGGGTGAGGTTCCTTTCGATGGACTACGAGGTTCGGGCAACATCTACTCAATAAATCGGTTAGGACGATAGAAAAAAAAAAAAAACGACGAAACGTACAGTACCGCAAAGAAAACAAGGCGAATACTGTACCTGTATGAGCAGGGAAATGCAACGAAGTGATTATCCCCCCGCCCCCACATTAATTCCCGTTATAGATACACAAAATTATACGATTATGAAGACGGTAGATACATTATTATCAATAAAGCCGTAGCCGAGAATCAATGCGAACCACACATATTTGTTGATATACAGTATATCAAGACACTGTATTGTAGTACGAACCTCGGTAGGAAATGTGGGTGGTTCGGAGCAGTGGGATCGAAGAGCTTCGGCGGCATCTCAACTGGTTCTGATCTCGGCAACAAATCCGGTCGCTGTCTCACCAAAGAATCGCCTTCCATTTCCTGGTTAAATGCTTGTTGCAGTCGAATTCTTGCTTCCTCTCTGGCTTCTTTCCTCGGCGTCTGCGCTTTATCTCGAATGGAATGCCTTGCAAAAATTCAACGAAGAAAAGAAAAAAACATAAGATTGGAGATCGACGAGTTCTACTCGACAACACACGAGCAAATTGAAAATGGTTACATGTTGGAGCCCATCATTTCACAAAATTAGTTTCCCCCCATTTATGTTCGCCCGATGCGTGCGGAAATCACATCCTCCCTAACTTCGTGAGCAGAAACCAAAAAATTTCTAGGAAACCTTCAAGAGAAAATTCTCTATGGTTTCACCGTGTTCCCCATTTTTCTTTTTGCCATTTAAATTTGGCTGCCAGTAAATTTCAACCAGAAGTGATAAAACACCTCACAAAATGATCATAGTCCCTTCCAATTGCCTCGGTCCATTTGCTGACTTAGTGACCCTTCCTTTTTTTTATCCTAACCAGCCCCCTTTTTCTTCGTCTTCCAAATTCTACCCAGTAATACCAACAGAATTTTGCAACCACTTTCCCCTTGAATTCCTTCAGCCTAAATGCTGTTTGAGGTGCGTCGTGTACAGTTTCTCTACCCATGGCAGGGTTATTTTATCCTATGTTTATTTTTCTCCCAACTGGGGAGATTATTTAACTCTAATCCCCTGGTGATTTACCCTGATCCTATGGTAGTTTTTCCCTTATGGGTGAATTTTGGGATGTTTCTCCCATGATCTATTATTTGTCCTCCTGCCTGATGAGTGAATTTTTAATGCCTCCTTGTAAAAATTTTCCCCAATTTGTGACAGCCCTTTTTTAATTTTGGCGATTATTCATGCCATATAGTTGTGTATCTTATTCAAAAATTTCTTGAAAATTGCCCCACATGTGCTATCATTCCAAACCCGTTAGATTGTTGGTTTTGTATGTATGTACGTACCAATTATATTTTGTTATTGAATGTTTTTCCTTTTACCTTTGATTTTTTTTCAGTATGAACTAAAATCGTGTACGACAAAACTGAATTTATGTGCGTTCAATCGCATGCACTACTAATACTATTAGTCTCACACACGACAATAACGTGTAACGGTCCTCCAAAAATATCTATAAACGCTATTATTTTCATTTCATTTTGATTATTTTAGAATAACATCAATATAGATCAACATTTGTAACCACAGGTCTTAGCTAAGAAACACATAAAAATACTGTATATCTCATACAGAAACAGACCGGGAACCTCAGAAAGAAGTTAACAGTGGTAAGAAATCGCAGAAATTCTCCCCAAGTGACGATTGGCAGTTACCACCTACATTCCACTCACTGGAATTTTAGTAACAGAATGAAGCAGAATCGATCACACCCAGCAACGACGAACACTTCCCGCGTTTTCCCCAAAAAGATGTCATAGTCCGAAAATAATCCCTTGTACAATTTGTATGCACCGCCTAATTACCCCTTCGTCAAATTCATATCAAAATACTTTCAGACCCTATCTTGAATAAGATCCAGCTTAAACTTTTATAACTTAGACTTTTATACTTTTAGACTTTTTATAACTTAGGCTTTTATAAATTTCCAGCTTATCAAACGACGGACGGTCCAACTGCAATACACTGCAATTATAAACAGGTAAAAAAATATGTACCGTATATAATAATATTCTTACATTTCGCAGAGATCCCAAGGTTTGGCTAACGTGAAATACGGAGTTTTTGCAGAAAATGTCAACGGAACTTTATTCTAGTTACCCAAGAATGTTGCTCTTGGAAAATCGTAACAAATCCTAAAAATCAGATGTCGTTGATTAAAAAAAATAAGTTGAATTAATAAAGGTTAATCGTCTTTTTGAGGAAACAAGGCAAGTTGCAAGTACCTGCGCACAGACTGAGTGCGCGTATTGGTCGATTGCGTCCGCCTCAGACGTTGATCTCGAGTCTTCTCCCGTATCTCCCTTTCTTGTTCATTGCGAAGTTGGAGTATCCGATCGCGAACGTCGGGATCCTCGCAAATATCAGCGGGCGTTTCACCATTGCGAGTTCGAGCATTAAGATTAGCACCATGCAATACCAGCAACTCAAGGATGTCTATGTGACCCCAGACAGCAGCCGCATGGATAGNATCGTAACAAATCCTAAAAATCAGATGTCGTTGATTGAAAAAAATAAGTTGAATTAATAAAGGTTAATCGTCTTTTTGAGGAAACAAGGCAAGTTGCAAGTACCTGCGCACAGACTGAGTGCGCGTATTGGTTGATTGCGTCCGCCTCAGACGTTGATCTCGCGTCTTCTCCCGTATCTCCCTTTCTTGTTCATTGCGAAGTTGGAGTATCCGATCGCGGACGTCGGGATCCTCGCAAATATCAGCGGGCGTTTCACCATTGCGAGTTCGAGCATTAAGATTAGCACCATGCAATACCAGCAACTCAAGGATGTCTATGTGACCCCAGACAGCAGCCGCATGGATAGGCTGCCAGCCGTCCACATCCGCAGGGTCTGTTGTGACGTGACATTCTTCGAGCAGAAAAAGTGCCACCTGCAGGAGATGTTTGATTTTAGTCGAAACACCACGGTCTCCCCAACGAAGGAACTTAGCGTAGCATTTCAAAAAAGTTTCAGCTGTGATACCAGACAGGTCCAAACTCTGATTTCGGATATTTCGTAGACCCAAGTTCTAGTCCATATTCAACTTCGGTTTTATTCAATATAACCCAGCGTCGAAGTGACGGGATTAAATTATTTACTTGGTCAAGATCGAGACGAAGGCGATACAATCTCAACATTCAAGTACGGTAATCGAAAAACGAAGCTGTTTATTTTGATTAAACGGATCACAAAAACTAGTTGAACGCCTTCGGAATCCCAAGCTCATGTTGAACAGTTGATCGAATCATTGATCACATTTAATGTCACAGCAACATGGATGAGCTTGATATCGCTGCAGATATGAAATTTTCAGTTTTCACCATTTCACGTCATATTCAAAAAGTTTCAACTGGCTGACGCAAAGCAACAGAACTTGAATGTGTATAAATCTTGTCATTATTACAGTACTATAATATATTTTTTCGGTTCGTTGAGAGTGGAGTTAACGTACCTTTGCGTAGCCATTCGCAGCGGAAATATGCAGCGGAGTTGCATCTTGTTCATCCCGGAACTCCATGTTTCCACCCGCGGTCCGNTGTCATTATTACAGTACTATAATATATTTTTTCGGTTCGTTGAGAGTGGAGTTAACGTACCTTTGCGTAGCCATTCGCAGCGGAAATATGCAGCGGAGTTGCATCTTGTTCATCCCGGAACTCCATGTTTCCACCCGCGGTCCGAAGTTCCCGTAATTCCCGAAGCATTTTTGCTTCTGTGGAGCCCCGAGTTTCTTCGATCAATGCCTGTCGGAAGCAGTATAATAAAAAAGACCGTTTTACAATAGCCAATGCAACGATATTCTCAAAAATATAGATTGAAGCTCATACTTCCACAATTAATACATTATCCCCCACGAAAGCAACCTTAATAACTCACTTGAGAAGTCCGTTTTAGTACAGCATAAAAATTATTTAATATTAACCCGGTAGATACGAACGACAGAAAATGCTCATACTTCCACAATTAATACATTATCCCCCACGAAAGCAACCTTAATAACTCACTTGAGAAGTCCGTTTTAGTACAGCATAAAAATTATTTAATATTAACCCGGTAGATACGAACGACAGAAAACAAGGAAATAGGTCTCAGCATGCTAAATTAAAATAAATCGTGACACGTTACCGCTTTGCTCAAGTGCGATTGGACTACAGAGATGCACTTAGCTTTCTGAATATCAGCAGGATAATGCTTCATCAAAAATAAATCCAAAATACTGTATACTGCGCAGCCCCCAAAAAATACGATCACGTTATGATAAATGCACCAGGAATAAAACGTAAGATACTGTGTTTCGGAAATATTCCGATTACGGATGAACAAAAACGAGAAAATGAAGTTATTTCAAATGTTTTTCTTCGAAATTATTCGAATTTGGTAAATTCCCAAAAGGATTTGATCGAAGATAAAAGTAAGGCTTGCATATTTTCACAGAACCTCAATTAAAATTTTACAAACTTGAGAACAGTCTGTTAAGAAACATAATTTAACATCATGAAACCATCGACACTCAAAAAGCCACACAGGTTTATCGTGCAAAACACCACCGTGGCAGTGAGTGTCAAGAAAATTTGAGACCCGAAATAGAGTTTATAATTATGAAATTGTGTCAGAGCAAATAATCTCATTCTCATTTAGTCAAAATTTCGGCGCACGAAAGGAGTGGACATAATGGTTCAAGCCTTGTCCTGATTTTCGAAGATTAAAAAGGGACGGACCTGAGTTACACCCCGTTTAGCCATTTNCAACATTTGTAACCACGGGTCTTAGCTAAGAAACACATAAAAATACTGTATATCTCATACAGAAACAGACCGGGAACCTCAGAAAGAAGTTAACAGTGGTAAGAAATCGCAGAAATTCTCTCCAAGTGACGATTGGCAGTTACCACCTACATTCCACTCACTGGAATTTTAGTAACAGAATGAAGCAGAATCGATCACACCCAGCAACGACGAACACTTCCCGCGTTTTCCCCAAAAAGATGTCATAGTCCGAAAATAATCCCTTGTACAATTTGTATGCACCGCCTAATTACCCCTTCGTCAAATTCATATTAAAATACTTTCGGACCCTATCTTGAATAAGATCCAGCTTAAACTTTTATAACTTAGACTTTTATACTTTTAGACTTTTATAACTTTCCAGCTCATCAAACGACGGACGGTCCAACTGCAATACACTGCAATGATAAACAGGTAAAAAAAATATGTACCGTATATAATAATATTCTTACATTTCGCAGAGATCCCAAGGTTTGGCTAACGTGAAATTAGGAGTTTTTGCAGAAAATATCAACGGAACTTTATTCGAGTTACCCAAGAATGTTGCTCTTGGAAATCGTAACAAATCCTAAAAATCAGATGTCGTTGATTGAAAAAAATAAGTTGAATTAATAAAGGTTAATCGTCTTTTTGAGGAAACAAGGCAAGTTGCAAGTACCTGCGCACAGACTGAGTGCGCGTATTGGTTGATTGCGTCCGCCTCAGACGTTGATCTCGCGTCTTCTCCCGTATCTCCCTTTCTTGTTCATTGCGAAGTTGGAGTATCCGATCGCGGACGTCGGGATCCTCGCAAATATCAGCGGGCGTTTCACCATTGCGAGTTCGAGCATTAAGATTAGCACCATGCAATACCAGCAACTCAAGGATGTCTATGTGACCCCAGACAGCAGCCGCATGGATAGGCTGCCAGCCGTCCACATCCGCAGGGTCTGTTGTGACGTGACATTCTTCGAGCAGAAAAAGTGCCACCTGCAGGAGATGTTTGATTTTAGTCGAAACACCACGGTCTCCCCAACGAAGGAACTTGGCGTAGCATTTCAAAAAAGTTTCAGCTGTGATACCAGACAGGTCCAAACTCTGATTTCGGATATTTCGTAGACCCAAGTTCTAGTCCATATTCAACTTCGGTTTTATTCAATATAACCCAGCGTCGAAGTGACGGGATTAAATTATTTACTTGGTCAAGATCGAGACGAAGGCGATACAATCTCAACATTCAAGTACGGTAATCGAAAAACGAAGCTGTTTATTTTGATTAAACGGATCACAAAAACTAGTTGAACGCCTTCGGAATCCCAAGCTCATGTTGAACAGTTGATCGAATCATTGATCACATTTAATGTCACAGCAACATGGATGAGCTTGATATCGCTGCAGATATGAAATTTTCAGTTTTCACCATTTCACGTCATATTCAAAAAGTTTCAACTGGCTGACGCAAAGCAACAGAACTTGAATGTGTATAAATCTTGTCATTATTACAGTACTATAATATATTTTTTCGGTTCGTTGAGAGTGGAGTTAACGTACCTTTGCGTAGCCATTCGCAGCGGAAATATGCAGCGGAGTTGCATCTTGTTCATCCCGGAACTCCATGTTTCCACCCGCGGTCCGAAGTTCCCGTAATTCCCGAAGCATTTTTGCTTCTGTGGAGCCCCGAGTTTCTTCGATCAATGCCTGTCGGAAGCAGTATAATAAAAAAGACCGTTTTACAATAGCCAATGCAACGATATTCTCAAAAATATAGATTGAAGCTCATACTTCCACAATTAATACATTATCCCCCACGAAAGCAACCTTAATAACTCACTTGAGAAGTCCGTTTTAGTACAGCATAAAAATTATTTAATATTAACCCGGTAGATACGAACGACAGAAAAAAAGGAAATAGGTCTCAGGATGCTAAATTAAAATAAATCGTGACACGTTACCGCTTTGCTCAAGTGCGATTGGACTACAGAGATGCACTTAGCTTTCTGAATATCAGCAGGATAATGCTTCATCAAAAATTAATCCAAAATACTGTATACTGCGCAGCCCCCAAAAAATACGATCAGTTATGATAAATGCACCAGGAATAAAACGTAAGATACTGTGCTTCGGAAATATTTCGATTACGGATGAACAAAAACGAGAAAATGAAGTTTTTTCAAATGTTTTTCTTCGAAATTATTCGACTTTGGTAAATTCCCAAAAGGATTTGATCGAAGATAAAAGTAAGGCTTGCATATTTTCACAGAACCTCAATTAAAATTTTACAAACTTGAGAACAGTCTGTTCAGAAACATAATTTAAAATCATGAAACCATCGACACTCAAAAAGCCACACAGGTTTATCGTGCAAAACACCACCGTGGCAGTGAGTGTCAAGAAAATTTGAGACCCGAAATAGAGTTTATAATTATGAAATTGTGTCAGAGCCAATAATCTCATTCTCATTTAGTCAAAATTTCGGCGCACGAAAGGAGTGGACATAATGGTTCAAGCCTTGTCCTGATTTTCGAAGATTAAAAAGGGACGGACCTGAGTTACACCCCGTTTAGCCATTTCTGACTCGATATAATCGAGCGTTGCGTCGTCTTCACAGATATCGTAAGGCATGTTTCCGTCGGCATTCACTGCCAGCAAATTCGCGCCGCGCGACACGAGAAACTCGACCAAATGCAGATGTCCGCAGGTGGCGGCTGCATGCAGCGGAGTCCATCGTTCACTATCTTCGGCATTCACGTCTGCCCCATGATCTACCAATAACCGCATCATATCTCCCGAGTCGTCTATACAACACTGATGAAGCGCTGTGAGTCCATCTTCATTCGTCGAGTTGGGGTCGACTCCAGTAGAGAGGAGACGACGCACTTCCTCGACATCATTCCGTGCGGCGGCCTCAAGCAGCGTCACGCTTGGCTCGAACGTGAGGCGACGGCGGCGCTGTGACGCCGCATTCCGCTCACGCTTGGCGAGCTCGCGTTCCCGCGCCCGCCACTTTTCCATTTGCAGGGCGCGACGCTTTCGAGCGAGCTTCAGTCGCTCCTGCGTCGGCATTTTCTCCACCTGTAAGCACAAGGACAAAAACATCAACAGGAAATTCAGCGAAGAAAAAACAAGAGGGGGCCTTAAAAGGGCAAAGATAAACGTGTGATCTTTATACTCCGTTCTAATCTCAGTCTATTACTGTACTGTACTTCGAAACACAGCAGGCACGGGTATTTCCGTTAAATCCCGAGTCAGCAGAAGTGAGTATGCGCTTCTGTGTTAACGATGCACATGCGCAAGACTTTCTACAGCAACATTTGGGAGATACAATATTTTCCTTCTGATTTGAGAAATTTTTCTGACAAGTTATCAAAATATTTCCCATAAATTTAAATGAATTTTTCAGAACACTGCATTCATTCACACTTCGCGGTACAGAAAATTCACGACTTTTCCAAACTGCAGTGACTTTTATAAGTCCTTAAAGGATTATACTGATCATTAGCTCGTTCAATTTGATAAATGAGGTCTGAGAATTCCAAAGAACTCAACATAAACGTGTCACGAAGTTTCACGGCGCTTTAGAATCCATTAACGTAAAAAAGAAGGCGTCAATCTCTCGAGGCGGTGCTACAACATACTTACAGACCTCTTTCATTTTACATGCTGTTCAATACTACGGTATATTTCGAACTGTAACAAACAACAAATGAACACTTCTAGCTGGTAAACGATTATTTCAAATTTCATGGGGAATACTGACGGAATACTCTGTTGAGCTCGCTTCACGTTCGTCACGACACTGAACGTCATAAAATGTGGAGAGCTCCGTAAAAAAAACTTCGTTATGGAAGTGAAGTACTGTACAACAAAAGTGTGTTTCTTTACGGAGTAAAGTGACACTCACCTGTGGGAGTTCCTTCATGAGGTCTTGAGAAATTTTTCTGACAAGTTATCAAAATATTTCCCATAAATTTAAATGAATTTTTCAGAACACTGCATTCATTCACACTTCGCGGTACAGAAAATTCACGACTTTTCCAAACTGCAGTGACTTTTCTATAATAGTCCTCAGAGGATTATACTGATCATTAGCTCGTTCAATTTGATAAATGAGGTCTGAGAATTCCCATGAACTCAACATAAACGTGTCACGAAGTTTCACGGCGCTTTAGAATCCGGTAACGTAAAAAAGAAGGCGTCAATCTCTCGAGGCGGTGCTAAAACATACTTACGGACCTCTTTCACTTTACATGAACTGTTAAATACTACGTTATATTTTAAACTGTAACATACAACAAATGAACACTTCTAGCTGGTAAACGATTATTTCAAATTTGATGGGGAATACTGACGGAATACTCTGTTGAGCTCGCTTCACGTTCGTCACGACACAGAACGTCATAAAATGTGGAGAGCTCCGTAAAAAAAACTTCGTTATGGAAGTGAAGTACTGTACAACAAAAGTGTGTTTCTTTACGGAGTAAAGTGACACTCACCTGTGGGAGTTCCTTCATGAGGTCTTCGTGGTCCATTTTGACAATCAATGGAACCAACACGCCAAACTCGCGGGCAACACGAATAAAAAACTATCTCATGAAAAACGGACTTCTGTCGAACGACACACCTCAATTCTATCTGCGAGGCCTGAATCCGATTGATTCCGAGGACGGACGGTGTTTAGCCACCATTGAAAAAAAAACGTATAAAAGATCCTGATAGGGATGAAAAAGAGTAATACTTCGTAAGAAAATATTGATCAGTCCTCGCAAATCTTTTTTCTCACGAAGTTTTTTCAAATTTGTTACACTGTATGCACGGACTTAACAGAGGTCGCGGACTCAACACGCGATCGCTGAGGAAAAGCGTCTTTTCAAATCTTCGGCATCCAAGTTTTTCCCTGAGAATGGATTAGCATTAGGAATAATAATCGCAACATAACGCGCGAATAGTCACTTCATCTCACCGATGATTATAAACCGGCAGTGGCCGTTCAGTCCTTCCAGATCCTTGGGACTCAAATGTAGGGGGGCGAAGTCAAAAATTTCATTCACTGACTGCATCAGCTCATATGTTCCATTTCCCATGCACAAAACAGCCTGAAATGTGAACAAAAAGTTGACGGTGCCAAAAACTGGAGAACAAAAATGTCTTCTTATTTTTAAGAACGGTAAACATTTTTTTTTTTAACTCGACCAAAAACTTTCAAAAGTTCAAGCTAAAAAAAATTTAAAAGATCGCACGAGTTGATCTTTGACTTTTGTCATTCAAATCAAAAGTTGTGACGGATGCATTCAAATCAGAAGTTGTGGCGAAAGCACACAGACCTTCATTCGTAAAACATGCAGATCCTTGTTATCCTTTTCATCCTCCCAAATTAGCGGAATGAGCGCTTTTTCCACAGCTTCCCTTGTTGTAGTTCCGGGAAATTCAAACGTGAAACTTGCTATTCTCTATTGAACGATCAAGAGAAAATTATTATGAACTGTTACAGGCAAATTAAGATAAGAGCAGAATGGACGCTAACCTTCGTTTGATGCTCTGCTGGTAGGGAGGAATTCTTCAAGGTCTGCATCCGCTGTTCTACAATATTTGGACTGAAACATGAACAGATAAACATACAAGTATTTCATGAACGATCGGAATTGCCCATTTTTCGGTTGCAGGATCTATACTCACAGTCTTTGCGCCAGATCCACGGCGTACGAATTTAGGTTGAGAACAGTGTCAAGATCTACACGACTATTCTGAGTCCGAATAATTTTCGAGAAATTATTGATTTCCCTGATGGAAAACGAGAGGATTATGAACATCGGAGCGAAGAAACAGGCCTGGACATGACTTACCGCATCGCCATCTCCAATGCTTCAAGCTCCTCCACAGAAACTAGATCGACCTTGTTTACAATAATAACGTCCGCCAGTGCGATCTGCCTGATGATACAACCAATGTCAAACTCGAAAAGTGAAAAGAAGCTTAAACCGAATTCGTCTAAGGAAAGCGGGACAAATAACCTGCATGCTTCGGAGGGAGATCCATCGGCATCTACTGTCAACAATTGCTGCAATCCGTATTTCGCATCAACAACAGTTACAACGCCATCGAGATCAATGTCGCTCATCAAGCCGGGATCAAGCCAGAAACTCGACACCAACGGTCCTAGAAAAAATTGGCATCACTTCGAAAATTCATTGAAAAAGCAATAGGAGGAATACCTGGATCCGCCAAACCAGTTGTTTCGAGTAATATGTAGTCAAATCTACCTTTCCTTTGCATAAGACTTTCTATGGCCTGAACTCCCACACTCCTGTTACAAAACAAGAAATATCAAGTAAATATCGATACTCGGAACATAATTCGAACGATGCGACAAAAACGCGACAGAATAATTTCTGGAAAGGAAAGAAACAATAGCTCATTCCAAGAAGATGAACTTTTGTCAAAGCTTCAGTTTAACCTGTGGAAAATGTTCGACATATTCAACGAACTTCTAAAACTGATTTGTTCTGAAAAGTAAAGCAAAAGAAATCTTTCCTGCAAAAATCCTCATCTGAATACTTTCCGACATGCCGGCGTGCACCCGTCATCTCACGTCGAAGGAATTAAGATTAGTACTGTATAGCAATGTGTCATGTTAGGCTGGGTTACTAAGTTGCTACTGCCAAAGCTGACAAGTCAGGAAATATTCAAGGAACAGCTTTAAAACTATCCTAATATAATTCTTCCACAGCAATTTCACGTCGGAAAACATAATGAGAAACTTTATTGACGAAATGCTAAAATGGAACTACAGCCAAACCGGTAGCAGGTACATTGCTCATGAGTACTTCAGTAAATCCTACATTTAAAAAATCTCCTAACTATTGCACGAACACGGAAGATCATGAGACGAGTAATGAAAGTCGGCATCACAATTTGAAGTGACGGCTTACTTGAGAGTGCAGCACATGCAACCATTCCTGAGCTCGAGCCAGTCCATGTACATGTCACCCCCGCGATCAGAAACGGAAATTGATCGATCTTCCAAAGCTGACCCATCGCCAAATTCATTCATAATCACGGCAATCTTTTTCCCATGGTTCTCAGTCAAAATATACTTCAACAAAGTTGTTTTACCAGCACCGAGGTAGCCAGTCAAAATTGTTATAGGTACGCGCTTCTCCTCGGTTCCTCGCGCAACTTCCACCAAATCGGGCACTTCATCATCACTCTCAGACATCACTAAATTTTCTCACAAGAAATCTGGATGGAAATGCTGATCCCTCGCACTGGTCTGATGCTCAGCAGAAAATAACGGGTTTCGAAAAGCTAAGTAAAATACTGGAAATTGCTTCTTATTCGCGCCAGAAAAACGAAATAACAATTCAAGTAGTCTCAAATTCACGGTGCCTAGAATGTGAAGAAAGAGAAAACTGATCAAATGCTGCAAACTCACGTAAACTATTCAAAACTCACTTGCACTTGGGACAAGTATAGAAGACAGTTTGTCCCTCATCAGCTGATCTCAACTGTAGCGTTGCAAAAGACATTGATGGATTTTGGCATTTCGGGCATGTCCTGTCGGCTAGCGGACCATCTGCATTGCCTTGAGTATCCGCAGTAATTCGGTCATCAGATTTCACGACATTGTAATAAATTGTGAATTTACACGGCTTCTTTTCCAGTACTAGAATAAATAAGGATCAAGAAATATTTTTCACTGAAATAATTTGAATATAAAAGTTAGAATGTAAATCTACAGCTCTACAAACCTTCGCAAGGGAATTCGGACTGACAGCAGGCGCAACAAAGCATTCCTTTCTGCCTTCTCAAAGGAAAAATCGCACCACATGCCGAACAAAAGTGTTCCGACATATCACAACACCGTTTACCTTAAAAAAACCAAAAAAATATGTTCCTCTGAGTTATACAATGCTTTGTAATTTTCACGACGCTTTTTTTGTACGCTCGATGCCTCAGAGGCAATTCTGAAATCTTCCGGCGTCACAAGAATGTCAACGTCTTGATCACATTTTAGGTCCGAAATTGTTCGCCGTAATGCACTGGACACCGCATCAGAGCAAAACGAAGAGAACTCAGCTCCGGTTGTTTCTTCTGGACACAAGTTTGCGATTTCGCTCAAGTTAACGTCGGAACGAAGTTTCAAATCTTTTGTCAATGCCTTCAAAATAGCAACGCGATGACGTTGCTCCGTAGCGACACCAATGTAAACTGAACGTTCAAATCTGCCCGGTCTCAATAGAGCTGGATCTATTAAATCAGGTCGATTCGTGGCCCCAATTAAATAAACTCTCCCGTCGCTGAAGATCCCATCCAATTCCGACAAAAACTGAGCAACGATGCGATCCATCACTCCACCTGAATCACCAGTTCTCCCTCGGTTTGGAGCAAGGGAGTCCAATTCATCAAAGAAAATTACACAAGGTGCACAAGCACGAGCACGAGCGAACACATCACGGATATTTCTTTCACTTTGCCCAACGTACATACTGATAAGTTCTGGTCCTTTCACAGAAGCGAAATTAAGTCCGAATTCACTAGCTGCTGCTTTGGCCATGAGAGTCTTCCCGGTTCCTGGAGGACCATACAGTAGAATTCCTGATCGGTGCAGACCGGTTTTCGATACTTCGATGTTCAGAATACTTGTTTCAAGCATTTCACGCAGCTCTGTTTTTGCCAATTCTAGCCCGCCGACATCACTCCATCTCACATCTGGCACGTAGGAAATCTCTGAATTGAAAGCTTTCCAAGTATCTTTCACCAAGTCTCGAACGCTCTTGTTTTGGTCCAACTTCTTCAACACAGAAGAAAATTCCAACTGTGCAGATGAAAACCCCCCAGTGGCCCGAACCAAAGATTGGTGATTTTCGTAGAACTTGCAACGCTCCGCTTCGGAAGGAAGATCAACACAAATAACTTTTGAAAAAATTTCGGCCACCATCGGGTCTAAGTCTCTCGGATCTCTGCAAGTAGCAACAGTATATACCCCAAGCTTCTCTGATTCCATCGCCAATTGCTCAAAGCAACTTACTACCCTACGCCCCACTCGTTCTTCTCGGCGTTTGAACAGCTGAAGTTCACTGATTATTGCAATACACGGAGCATGCTGTCTGGCAAGTGAATAAAATTGCTTGAGTCGACCTTCAATCAGTCCACAGGATTCGCCATTGAATGTGGATGCCGGCCTCAACAAATACGGCACATCATTCAGGCTTGATGCTCTGATCAAAATGTTCGTCAACGAAACTGGATCATCAATAGCAGCAGCAACCAGGATCCTAGGCTTTGATACGTTCCCCAAAACACTCGCTGACACAAGCTTCGCAATCCCAGCAACAACTTGATAATGAGGCACAAGGGAAGGACACACAGGACATGCACAAACGCATTCCATGAAAAGCGGCAGAGAACACTTTGGAGTATGATTAGCCAACGTTACTTTCGAGAAGTTCGGATCAACGAAGAAAACATCTTCGGAAGGCGCAGAATCGACGGTGAATCGTAGGTCTTCTGGAGAATCCATTAGGCTAACGTGATAGCTGTCAGCAACCCTCACTTCGAAAGCATCTCCAGGCGAAAACACAGCATGCGATATGGCCAAAAATCTACGTAAAACGGCTTCCGCTTGAATGTTCAATGCTAAGAATGAATCCCCCATTTGATATTTGTTCAAAATCCTTCGTTTTTCACAGAAGAATTGGATGTTTTTGATGCGTGGAATACACACTTTCGTGGGGAAAAGTATCAATGGAATGCTGGATGAAACATTAAGCACAGTAGCGGATAACCGCGACATTCCAAGAGGCACGATGTTGATTGAGGACTCGAAGATCGTCACGAGTCTTCTAGCTTTCCTTCCAGGCATGACGATCCATTGCCTGTCACCGCCATTCAACCCAAACGCGGCCATCAAGTCCGAAGTAAGACCTAAGGCTCTCCTGGTTTGCACTGCAACGGTAACTGCTCCTTCGGATGACGTGAAGTATCTGAAGCACGCAGGAGATACACACTGAGCGTGGAACTTGAAATGCTTGCAGAGAATCCATCCTACAAGAAGGCGAATACGGTAACCTAAATTCCCAGTATTTCTTCCAACGAGGACCGAGGAGAACAAAATCGTCCGCAGTTCTGCATCGGCATGCATCATCTCGCCAGCACCATACCTAATAATGAAAGGAGTCACCGTTCATCACTTAAAACCAAGAGGCTAATCAGAGTTTCTAGATGGGACACATTATGAACAAGGAATCCATTTAATTCAAATGCAATACCAGAACTTCACATCATTAACAATGTAAATCTTTCAGCTTGGGTTGATATAACATGAGTACGCTTGAACCCATAAATTAAACGTATATCAACAAATTCATCGCACAATGACAAAGGGAGTTATTACTGCTCAATCTTGAAAATTCTAGGAAGTTCGTACAGCACAGCAATTTGCATTTTATCACATGACAAACAGGCGTAAGTTTCCATACATGGCCTGATCATTGCAGTACAGTGATTGCTTCATAATTGTTAGGTATTGATGTGGAAATAAATACTGGGACTTCAACGACAAACACAGTGTCTTCTCACGACGACTGATGTCCAAAACAACACTCGGACACACAATAATCCAAGATTAATCAAATTTTTCCATCAACCCGATGACAGCTACCGTCTGAGTGCCTTCATCCTTACCACCGCTCCTCATCCACATCGCCTTGCCTTCCTTCTTGCTTCCTAGCTCTGTTCGGGTTTAATGAGCAAAAAGTAAAACATTCAATTAGTAACAACTAGGTGTCGCTCAAAGTAGAAGGTCCAAAACGCCACACAGCGAAGCGAGAGCTCAGGAGAACGTGGGAAGGATATATACCGGTAGGTAAACACATTAAAATTCAATGCTGTAACTGTAAAGCAGTTTCTCTTGATTCTGAAAATGAAAAACTGCAACTGCCTATGCGTGAGAAACTTGACACAAAAAACAACACTGCAATATCAAAGTTGAACCCCGATTATCCTTGACTTCGACAAACCGCGCGAGATCAGAATTTCAGTAGAGAATAAAGGCAACCAAGGGGTCCGCACACTTCCAAGTATTGTTACCCCCATAAATGCAATTTAGAACTAATTGACCCAATATAATGCATTGCATTATTCCCCGAGAATGTACTGATTTATTGTGTGTCGGTCAACAGGTCCTACTTCAGAGACAGATTTTTTCATTTGTCCAAGATAATTATTCAAACATCACAATAAGTCTATAGACGTACTAGACGAAGGCACCATAAATTATGCTATCGTTATGATGGGTATGGATAATTCGACAGTATACACTTTGTAAACCGAAGCTAAAAGTTCAGCGAATCTTCCAGCAGCTATACCGACGTGAACCTAGCTCTGATATCCGCCTACTGACGTAGTTCAGCAACAGAGTTATCTATCACCAGCAGCAGTATAATCCAGTGTTCCCGCGACGAAAGTAATTTTATAAAAGATGCCATGAGCATACGTTTACATCCATTCTTCAGCCCTTTCGAGACAATAGGAGGAAGTGAAACTTCTTCCAGCAGTTAAAATCGAATCCGCGAAATGTTCAACGCAGCAACAATAAGTCATCGCCGCTCGGACGAATACGAAGCGCTCGCGGGAAAAGTGCTAACATCACTTCAGATGAATAAAGAGATAAGGTCTACGCCGATGGAAGTTCAACACTAGCGACGTGTTCGATTCGCATTCACGCACTTCTCCACGTCCTCCTGAGTCACCGCTGAAGAGCCGTCATCGGCACCAGATTTATCAGCTGTTTTGCTCTCCTTATTAGCAGCAGTTGTCGTCTTCGGCTTGGAAGAATCTCCAGCAGATTTATCGTCTTTGGTTATGCCCTTATTGCTGCCGCTTGTTAGATTGCTCGCGGTTTTCTGCTGGGAAGAATCCTTGCTGCCGGACGATCTATCACCGCCTCCAGCACCAGCACCACCACCGCTTGAAGCAGCAGCAGCTCCTCCGGCTTGTTTGACAAAATCTGGGATCCCGGCTTGGCGACCGATTTCTTCCAGCTCATCGCGAATCTTCTTCATCTTCTCTTTGGCCATATCAGCGGCACGAAGCTCCTTCTTCTCGGCCTCAACTCGTCTTCTTTCCGTTTCCTGGGCCAGAAGAACTTGGTGGCGAGTGAAGCCATAGGAGACCCCGGCCAGCAGCATTAACCATCTCGCACTCTGAAAAAAAAGGAAATGTCACAATAAAGTCAAGTGATTTTTCCTTGTATAAATTTTTTTCTGTCCCAGAGGCTTCTCCCCCATGTTATAGGAATTATCTACTACAAGACTCTTCAAGATTTTTTTCCAGGTTGCTATAGAATTTCTTTGTAGATGACTAGAGATTCCACCTGCGTATACTATAGTTATTTACATGATCACGCATCAATTGAACCTCTTTCAGTCGAATTCCAAATAAGGAACCAATGACAAACGCCTTATAAGGAGGTTTTGAGTAACAAAAACAAATCAATTTTGCCTTACAAAAGAGGAGTAAGAATAAACAAAGGAAGATGCATAATAAGTCATCTTTCTTGGTCCAAAACTGCCATTTATGTAAAGAAGTTGACAGGGTGGGGGACTAGGGGGTAAAGGATTCATTTGCCCATAATTAAAATTTACTTTTAAAAAGCATCAACTTGAATTTTTATGAATTTTCTCCCTCATCCCTGCTGGATTTAAAAAGTGAAGTGAGTTCACGTGGACAATAACGTGACAAATGAGAGGAGAATAATCAGCAGCAGTTGATTCCTTTTAATGTACGTCAGTATAACCAAGTCATTCATTTGGCTCATTTCAAGAATGCATTATGAAGAAGTCAATTTATTTTGACAAAAATACTGACAAAAAGTACATTTGAAATTGTCCCAGGATTTCTCAGAATTGTCTCAGAATTGTCTCAGAATTATAATTGAGTTGAAGAAATTGGGAATTCTGTGGACCCTGTTGGATTCTCACTGCTGTCATATCAAGCACACATCTTATTATTTTGAGCTAAATTTCTTTTCGAAATTTTTAACAGATGCCAAAATTAATTCAAACCCTGACCAAAATCGGAACGATAATACGCGGAATAAAAATGAATCGATTTTTCCAAGATTACGGCGACACCTACTCGAACACTAAAACAAAAATCACGGCGTCTCCAACGCGAAGTTTGAAACAAAAAAAGATCTGTTGATAAGGTAGGAGAAAGGAACAAAATAATCTCCGAGAATAAGTCTAACGTTCCCAGAGACCTTATTATAAAAGAAAGCTTGCGCGGAATTTCGGAAGTCCGTGAAAATTTATAACGAAGATCCGCGTAACTTAAACATAGAGTTGACGTAAGTCATTTAACTCAAAAATTCCTCAAGCGGCAAGATGCGTTGTAAATACCGTATTCAAAATCTACGCACAAAAAGAGCATCATCTTGAAATTTGAGGATATCTTTCTTGTTGAATTCATTTAATTTTACATAAATCAAATTACTGTACATTATTAATTCACTATAAAAATCAGGCCACAAAAGAAACATATCATTAAACAGCAAGGGCCAATAATCTTTAATCTTATAACAACACTACAATAATCAACTAAATTTCATTAAGGCAATTTTTAATCGAAATTGTCTGATCAACTTAAATGTAGCAATTCTTCCCCAATTACACAATTTTATCAACAGTTTAAAAACATCTCTGATTTGAATAAAATAAGTTTTGCTTTCCTATTCAATCTAATTTTTTAAAATATTCGTGGCAAATAATGTGAACCTTAAATTTGGGGATATTTTTTGAAATCATGCGATGAAGCACCAGAATAATTACACTATCCTGTATACAATATTATGAGAATAGTTCATGAAAATTCGGATTTTATATCAGCACACATTCATATTTGCCTTATTCGTATTCTATCTTACTGTTAAAATGAATACTGTATACGGTACGGTACAGCTGCATATATCCGCGTAAGTTTTCAAGATCCTTCTCCTAAATTTGGCCAGTGTATGAATCTGACCCTGTAAAGACTTGACTAAAACTTGTGTCTCTGCATTTGTATGGCTTGGGATAACCAACTATTGTCGGATGTCAGATCATGAGCGATCGTTTTGAGTGTGTAAGTAGCTTTCCAATGAGGGATTGCACAGTTAAAAAGAAGCTACCATGCAGGGTTACATTAGAGAGGTTTCTGCCGGGGTCTCTAAAATAAAAAGCCCATTTATCGATTAAATAAAGTACCACAAGAGGAACATATGTACTTGAAATAGGAATAAGTTTTTCTCAACGGAATATTTCACCTTGATGAGCGGTGATACGTTCAACGCAGGTACTTCACTCATAGTCGCTATCGTCGATAATCGGAAGTCCACACTTTTGAAAACCCGTCTGTTGTCGCTCTACGTAGAATAATGCAGAATAAAAGAAAACTTTCAATCAGCTCTAGGCAAGTTGTCGACGATAATTCGCTTCCAAACGTATATAGAGATTATTCCGATTCATCACGTCTGCGATGTGTACTTCGATCGGCGTTTGCTTCACACTATCAGACTCATCAGCAGTTTTTCAATGGGTTTTCATCAAGATCGTTTTAGATCTTTAAAATATTCAATGGACGCGGGTGACATTGACGAAAAGCTTTCGAAAAGAGGGATGAACAGCAAATCAAGCACTGTACAGTGTACAGTATTGTTGCATTATTGTATCCATTCTTCATCATTACTTCTTCTCTGGTGAGCTCGAGAAAAAAAAATTACACTGCCACGTTTGCGGAAAATAAGGATACCGTAATTTTGCGGTAGATTTCATGAAAGTTTTATTTTTAAGAACATTTTTGAACAACATTTTTTTCTGAAAAGCCGCGGTTGTAATTCAAAGCGATGCACCTACGGAACAATATAGTTGTGCACTATTTCTTTCATGAGCATTTAATAAGCATCAAATGTAAAATTTTCCGATGATAAATTCTCGACTGAAAATTTCCAGGACCTACATTTGTATAAATATTGAGCTAATTTTTCGGTTCATCCAGCAATACACGAATTCATCACAAAAAGCCGACTGAATCCCGCGATTCGTCTTTCAAAATCAAAAGACACGAGAAACAATTAAAAAATAATTTATTCAATAAATAACCGAAGAAATATCTCACACACCCATATACCGGAAAACGTTAAACCTTCAACAAAAAACACTGAACCCGTGTACATCATCCACGCCGTGTGAATTTCATCATCTCTTTTTTAGATACTGTATTAAAAAAAAATGGCTAGCACTTCCAATTTTCACGCCTTTCTGTATTTATTTTTGGTAACTTTTCCCCCTAAAAAAAATTTGTCGTCCCACTGTTATTTACAAATATAGCGGAATCATCAAACAGAGATGGCGATCACCACGGTTATTTTTTGACAAAGGAAAGACAAGCATTTTATTGACCAATTGATCAAATTCCTTGTCGATTCTTTCCCCGAAATGAGGAATACTCGGAAGACATATATTGTCAACATTGCACGTCTCGTGTTGTCGTCAGCATAACAAATGAATAAATACGAAAATAAGCAAGTCAGCAACACTTTCAATCAAGAATAAATCCCACTCATCCAGGCGGTTTGAAACATCAACAGCAACAACAATAAATAAGAAAACGGCCTCATAAGCCGCATATTTGAGCTAGTTGAGAGTAAATCATAAGAAAATGCGAAAGGGGTAGGCAAATCACAAGAAACAAAATTAATTAAATAAATATCAACCCCTGCCGCATTTTCAGGAAGTCTAAAACAAAAATTTGGGGGGCGGGATCTAATGTTAGATGTTTCACAGCAAGCAATTCAGGTCATTTATTTGGTACAAAAGGAAATGTTTGCGCAGTCATAATCTTAAAATATTCTTGATTGAAGCATATTCTTATTTGTCATGAGTTTCTGCATCGATCAAGAACATGGTAACTTTAAAATTGCGAGAAACATTGTTGACAAGACAAAATATACGGAATTATCGGAAACCAAACGTTGAATTTCCCGAGTTTCAAAGCTTCAAGCGTTTCGCAAAGAAATCCAACGAATAACTTGCATGCATACGCATGAAACAAGGGCCTCATTTTTAAAGGAAAAACGCTGTTTTACATAATTCTGCCAGCTATAACCAACAGTGTTTCTCAAAAAATTACTGTTTTTTATTTGAATGCGGCAGAATCTCGTTAAAAAATAATCTAATACAGCGAACTTGTTTCTTAGGTCTCTGCTCAATTGCCACAATGTCAAATGACTAACTTCATCATGTTTTTCTTGTTCCAACGTATAGCTTTTTCATTGGTTCCAATGGCTTTTCTTCAACGAGATTTTACTGTATCTTTTATAGATCCCGAAGAATGGTCTACAGAAATGATGATTCGGGGGCATAGATCTTATTTTCAGATGAGTACAACAAGATTCATGCAATAGAATTACAGGTTGAGCCTCGCAATTTGACAATCCCGCAATTTGATGATCGAATTTGCAGGGGAGTTTGACTTGAAATTCGACCCTTGCCCCGCAATTTGACCAGCTTTGGCCATTTATTTTCGCGTTTTTGTACTTGAATCTTTGAATTTCAGGGAGTGTCTTGCAATTTGACCGATTTTCAATTTTTGACCCTAGTTCAGCAACAGACGGGGGTTGAATTGCGAGGTACCACCTGTATCTGCAGAATTAAACGATAGGAATGTTTATAACACGTGGAAATTTTATGGGAGTTCTCGACGAGGTACATCACTTGCAAATACATTTGAGTATAAGAGAAGTTTAAACAAATAATTCTACAAGGAAGCTTTGCTCCAATCAAAGAACAGGAATATTTTAACAGCGTCGCATTTCAAACAGGAGTAATCAATCTTTCCTTTTTTTTGGAACAGATTATAGCGTTTGCTGATGATGGAGACAGTGTGTTACAGGGTTTATATATTCAATGACTAGGTCTGATTTCTGCAAAAAATAAAATACAGCATTAGCACCGAGGAAACTAAAGAAAAAAGGATCAGGGGTAATTGCTTCGGCGGGCTACGAAAAAAATCGGACGAGTTTGCGTCCCAAAAATTAGACAAAGTTGTTGTCAACGTCGGAGCAGGGGTTGTCTCCGTAAGGCACCGCCTTGTAGTAGGCCATGACCCCAGATCTGGAGTCCGCTCGTTTGTTCTCCTTCTGGGGGTCGGAATGGAAGTGTATGAGCATTTGGTTGCAAACGGAAGTCACGCACTCCTTGGACCGCGAATTGTCGCCGTTGAAGAACGCCAACAGGTTCTGGCGGTCATCCGCCACGCATCCATCATACACCTTCACGATATACAGTATACACAACATTTTAAATCAGTGTTCCCCAACCCTCTTTTCCCCAAGACCGGCAAAGCCCCGAAAAATTTTCTGCAGACCAGCAAAGTTTCATGGCATTTTTGCAGACCCCTTAGAATAATTTATGAATTTTAACTTGATTCTAAAATTAAATTATATTAAAAATGATTTATGCCTTTTTTGAAAGATTAAAAACCGCAAGAAAAAAAAAGACGAGAAACATGAAACAGTATTGGGTTGCAATGAAAACAAAAATCACCTTGACGTAATCACAGTCCTCCATCCCGCAATTGGTTTCCAAGTCCATCCACCGGAAGTCCAGATTGACTCTTCGTCCGGAAGTGGCAGAGAGGCAGAAGTACCGGTCTGTGCCGTACGGGTAATTGTGAGGCCAATTAGGAGTAGCAACTTGCTTCTTGTCAATCTCCACTTGCAAAAGGCTGAGAGCTACTTTGGGATTCTCTTCATCTTCTTCTTCCTCGCCTGGTACATTTTCGTGGATGAAAAAGAAGAAAAAAAAAACATTCCATTCTTTCATGCGTCATCGTGCAACATCAAATTGAAAAGAAAAATATTCTCTCTTCTGCTCTAAAATGCTGTTTCCTGAAAAATAAAAAATAAAATCTCACCGATACAAGTGCCATTGCAGTAAAGGTCCATTCCACCGAGACAATCACCTCCTGGAGTTTCCGTAACTGGGCAACTCGGGCATCTGATGTCTGTATAATGAATATATGCACAAGGTTGATGAATGATACTAAAAACATGCTGCAGGGAAAGACGAGAAAAAGCCACTCATTTCCTGGATTCACGCAATTTTGAAAATTTTTATTACCGAGTTTATTTTAGGAAAAACAAAATATTCCACGTCATCGATTAGATGCTTTAAAACACGTGACGACGGATCTCTTTTGAATAAAGTTCCCGAGAAAGCGACCCGTCGATTAATTTAGTTTCTACTGATTGTATTCAAGATGATGGCCTGAAATTTCCGAACTGAATAAACAACTGGGAGAATTTAAATTAATACTCAAGAGATCCTGCAGAAAATCATTTAATTGACCGAGGTGATCAGCATACCAATGAAGAGATTGAAGACACATGCAAAAAAAAAAAAAATCAACAGCCAGGTTGTTGAATTGATTTTAATGTGAACGATTTGTCAAGGCGGGATCTTTGAAAATTTGGAATATTTCGCAGGAATAATACAATACTGTATACAGGAAATTAAAATATATTTTGGCCAACTTTTTGAGGAAAAGGGAAACTTAACAGAATGCGAAGAGTATTCGAGAATTATTTATTACTGCATTATCATTATTTATTACTATTATTTATTGCTTATAATTATAATTATTTATTATTGCATTATTATTTACTGAATTATTTATTTTTTTAGAATTATTTATTGCTCAAATGCCGCGTTTGACAACGTAGAACTGAAATTTCCCCGTATAGGCAAACTTGTTGATCAGTGGATAAATGGATTTTTGTTTGATTGTAGAAGAAAGGATTATTATTCATTAGTATTCCAGTGTGATTGAAATTACCTTTCACGCAATCGTCCTTCTCTCCTGAATAATGGAACCCGATGCTGCACAAACAACGACCATTGTAGCAAACCGAGTTCCCGGTTCTGGCCCGGCATTCCTCGGAATATCTGCACACTGCCCCGATGGCCGAATCTGCGAAAACGAGACAGGACGTCAGAAAAAGGTCGAAAAACATTTCTTAAGAAATTAAATTACTCTACAAAGATTAGTGTTCGGGACAGGAACACAATTTTGCACATTATGAAGAACTTCAACGCGTGAACATATCGTCTTCTTTCGTTTTGAAACTTCGGTATTTCTTTTGCATTTGAACAAAAATGCACTGACTTATTGTGATTTGCGCATTTGGATGTATCTGCTCAAAGTGTTTCACGAACACAGTATCACAGAAATTTAGCTTAGAATTTTCAAAGAGGCCTTTCCTATCTTTCAATCTTTCGTTGCTGAAGAATGTTCAATGTTTTTCAGCGAGTGGATTAAATTATTTTCAAGAATACATTTCTTCTTTATATGTGTCAAAAATTAATAATTTCTGGAGACTTTTCCTGTTTCGTATGTTACTAGGATTAACTACCGAAGAAAGATGTTCTGGAAGTTCAGAAACTTTAAAAATATTTAGCAGTCGATCATCACATCGACATTTTTTTTAGTTTTGGTCTTTGAATCCAATGAATTGATTTTTTTAATGGCAGGGTTTTTTTTCTGTATTTCATAAAAATGCAGAGATCAGCGCAAAATATTTTACGAGACAAAGACCTTTTTCAAATCTCCGGAGTCCGGACCGATTCAAATTCACACTAGATAACTTCGATTGGCCAACTTATGCAGAAGATCATCTTAATACTGTAGTATCTTTGAGATAAATATGAGAGAGTTAACGTATATAGGGATTACAGAATTATCTTTTCGACTCTTCCGCTGTATTATTCAGAATGCGATTGCTCAGGGGGTAAAATAATACTGAGTTAGGAATGACGAGGCACGTCTGGTACTGATCAGTACGTAGCCGCGGTTTTTTCGATATTTCAGTACTATACTGCAATGTCTTATGTCTTGATTTTGTCAGACATGGGCAGTATTTGAAGAGATCATCTCTCAATTAGCTCCATGTCAAGTCAACTTATTTCTATAGTCTCACGTTAACTTTTTTTTGGACTCTACTGCATGCTGATCGCGTAGATATTTAGAAATGTGAAAATGATGCTGTAATCACAAGATTATAGAACAACACCAACAAACTTCTCCTAATTTTTTTCTGAACAAACATCGTAATTAAAAGAAATGCTGAAAAAATGTTCCCAAAAAAAGGCTTGAGAAGAAACATTGCGAACGTTTTAAAGAATAATAATCGTCTTCGGGACTCCCTCTTGAAAAAAATTTCACCACAAACTCTTGCAAAAATAACTAGGGCAGTCCTTTTTTACATCAGCAACGTAAAAAAAAAAACATTTGCGAAACTTAGCGGTTTCCGAGGTGGGTACAAAATTTAACACAAATGCATGAAAAGTACTGTATATTTCAACCTCATCCTAAATATATGGTGAGGCCCTTTTTTCGGATAGTTGAAAAACACAAAATTTCAAGCAGATAAAAGAAATAGGAAAGCTTCACGAAGTATTCCAGCAAAGAATGCAATTCTCGAAGACAGCTTGACCAGAAAGACTCAAAATCCATCAAGTGATGCTTGAATTTTTCAGAAAGATATTGTAATTGAACATACATTTACTGACACTGTTTGGAGAAAACAAACCTTCACAGAATAAAATTTGAAGTTACACATTTAGTTTAATTTGTAAACACAGATGAAAATACTGGAGGGAACTGCATGGTTACAAATCCCCAAAGTTTAGTTATTGTGAAACACTCAGTTCTTTGCTCTTGTCAGGGATAATTTAGGAGGGAAGAAATATTCGCAAATAAAACACAATAATCAGCTGGGCTGTGACCAGGGTGTTCTTCCACCTTAGTTTAAAGTTGGTCTTATTCTAAAAATAAAAAAAACAGTACAAGTGGGCAATTTCAACATTTGAAAATATCAACAGTTTGAGCACTTATGAGTTCTTTTCTTTTTAAGTTAAAAAATCAAGTGTCCAAAAATGAGGAGGAAAAGGTTTTAGGAAACCTATCCTTCAAGAATATGAAATATTCCAGCTGAGATGACCTCAGATATTGAGTTTCCATTTCTCAACCATTTATTGTTTCTAAAGATACACATTTTATGACTATAATTCAGAGGCATGAAAGAAAGTATTACAATCTGATGAAATCTACAGAGTATTCGCAATTTAAATCCAGGCCATTGGTATCGTCAACTCATCAAAGACATTCCTTTCGAAATATAATTTTCTTTCTTTCAAAAATCGCTCAGATCCAGCACAAAATAATGAAAAACAACTAAGAAAGTACAGTAAGTGCTAGAAAATTGATTTGGCAAGAACATTCGTGCTTGGGGACACCAGATCGTTGTCATTGATATCGCAAACTATAGCTACAAATATTTACTTTAAAATATTGCGTTAATTTCTTCGTTCAAAAATCACCCCAAGTGCAGCGCAAACAAAAAAAACAAAAAAAAACAAGCAAAAATGTATTGTACTGTTCATGCCAGAAAATATATTTGACGATAAAATTTGCGTGAATAAATGCATTGTTAGGACACCCGTGTGACGGATATGTTTTGCCGATATCGCAAGCTAACTAGAAATAATGTATTTATTTCCACGCAAAGTTGAATTTCGAAATCGCTCGAAATCTCGCGCAAAATAAAGTAGAAAAACTAAAGATTTACATACAATAAAATCGATTTGGCGAGCTAAGTTGTGCGAAAGGGCATCGTGGGGACACTCGCCATGGCCCTTATTCGTATTGAAATCGCCAACTAATATTAATTTCAAAAAAGGAATTTATTTTTGTTTTAAATCACGCTCAATACAGCGTGAAATGAAGAAGAAGGAAGAAAAAAAGTAACGAGCTATACATGCAACAAAATTGATCCGGCGAGATTCATTTTTTGTAACGGTATCAGCAAGCATACGAGGGGTCCAACAAAATTTCTCGGAATAGAAATTAAAATGGCACATAATTGAGCTGAAAAGAATTATTCTTTAGAGAAAACACATTCTTTGGCACAAGAAATATTTTTTTCGGCAAAAAATGTTTGTGCCAAAGAATATGTTTTCCCTACTGAATAACTTTTTTCAACTCAATTATATGCAATTTTAATTTCTATTCTGAGAACTTTTGTTAGACCCCTCGTAGGGACACGCATGGTGCATAATTTTCATCGACAACGCAAACTAACCCAAGATATTCACTTAAAAACAAGGGATTTCCGTAATCTCTCCAAATCAAAAGTCAAATATAGAAGAAAAAAAAGTGTCGGACTACATGCAAGAAAATCAATTTGGCGTCCACCGGCCGTGGCGCATAGTTTTCTTCGATAAAGCAAACTAACCTAAGATATTCATTGTCAAATTCTGAACTTCCTTTTGCGAAAATCACGGCGGATCCAGCATAAAAAAAAAAAAACTAGCGAACTGCATGCAAGAAAATCGATCCGACGAACTGAATATTGTGCGTAAGACTATCTTCATGCTGGGGACCCGTGACGCTTATTTCGCATTGATATCGCAAACTTACCCAAGATATTCATTTCAAAAGCACGACTTTCCGTTTTTGATAATCACTCCAAATCCAGCGTAAAGTAAAGAAGAAAAAGAACTAAGAAACTACATCAGTGTTCCTCAACCCTTTTGAGCCTGCAGACAGGCAAATTTCCTCAGAATTTGTTGCAGACTGGCAAATTTCCCAAAAAAGTTCTGAGGACCAGTAATGTTTCATTAATTTGTGCAGACCCAAAAACTTTTGCTTGAAAGACTCCATGATGGTAGAGAATTTAAAATTTTCTGCATTTTTGCAAAAATTAATATCCAATGAAGCAGATATAGTGGAATATCTTCAAAAAATGAAAAAAGTGGGCTCGAAGAAAGGTTTCTCCTAATTAAAGGATTGAAACATTTTATTTCAGGAGGGAAACATTTGTCTGAAACATCATTTGGAGAAAGCCACTTGTATTTCTCAAAAGATAATTTCAACTGCCACTGTCTTCCAAAAATTTCAAATCAAGATAACAGACTTCATTCCTACTTTTGATAAATTTACTATCCAAAAAAAATTTCCTGCGGACCAGCAAAAAATAAAATGAAATTCTGTGGACTGGCGCCAGTTTGCGGATCACGCATTGGGGAAAACTGAACTAGATGCAAGAAATTCAATTTGGCAAGATGTACTTTGCATAAGAGCATCACTATATATCCCTGTGGAAACCCCGTATCAAAAGTGAAGTAGTGAAGGAGTTAAAAGGTTTTCAACCGGTTAGGACTCGGTCCTTCTTTAGTAGGCTAAAGAAGGACTGGGTCAGGTTCGTGGACCCATTAAAAGCCTTCATTCCCCTTCCAAAGGAGAAGTTAGAATCTTTCATTAAAGGACTTTTCAAGTTAAATTATATTATTAATTCTTCTCAGCTAACCAACTGTCATGGGTCCATTGGATCGCAGACAAAGGAATTGAATTGTGCAGCCATCAGAATGCAAGTTTAGAATAAGAACTCAAACTCTTTTCAGAGGAGTTCATTCTCATTGCCTTTCATCAATTGGCTGTCAATTCAATATTGTAATGGCAGAGTTAATGGTTAGCTCAGAATAAGGATTGATTAATTTAATTTAGGTTAAAAGGCCCTTTAACACTAGGTTCTGACTTTTTGACTTCTCCTCTCAAAGAGGAATGAAGGATTTTATACCCAGGTGCTTGTACTGGGTCAGGAAGAAATCAGGTGATTTCTTCCTGGCTCAGGATTGGCCAATAAAGGAAAATTTAAGAAGTGATGACCACTTCTTGTCCTTGAGTGAGGCTCAGTGAGTCTCGCAAAAACAGGATTTTTGCAAGGCTCACAGGCCTCAGAAATCCAACACATTTTCCAGTCCGGTTTCTACCGGATGCTGGAGCTGCATCACTTTGCGACACCAACCAATCTTACAATTGACTCTGCCATTCTGAGCATTTTACTAACAGCCAAATGACAATTTGGGCAATGAGAATGAACTCCTCTGAAAAGAGTTTGAGTTCTTATTC